TAAGTCACGAGCCTAATGCGTATCTTACCACTATCGAGTCACGAAAAGGGCGAAAGGTCTGTGCTAGGGGACTCGTTCACCTCACACGCGAGTCACTCACTACTGGATGGCAAAGTGTGTCATCAAGAAGAGCATGAGCTAATGAAAATGATCAATTTCAAGGATAGCCACTGGTATGGATGTTAAGTAATGGTAGAAGTAGAAGATAGTAGAAGATTGGTAGACTGAGCAGGTCAGAACAAGTGAAAGCTGCGGATGCTGAGGCGTAGTAGGGGGAGAAGGAAGTAGCTGAGCCGAGGTATGCTGAGTGGGCTGCATTTAGCGCCTCGCCTGTCCGTTCTCCACCAGGAAGTTAGCAAACGTCCCCCAGCATCAGCAAAAAGTAAGACTGTGACTTGACTTTACTTTCGAGATAAATACCTGCAAATTTGGTCACTCACCAGATTTGTAAGGTTTCCCAGAAAACACGAATCCAGGCAGACTTGGAATGATAACATCGAATAGTAGCGGCCGTTTGACACCAAAATCGAAACCGAAACGGACAGGGTTCGTAAGTATTGGAATCACCTAGGAAGTTCTCATATATTCAATTCATATTTAATTGAAGGTAAAGTTTACCTTGTAGAAATCCCAGTAGCTTCCAGGAAAACCGTGAAGCATCAAGAGAGGTACTAAATTTTTGGATGGCTCCTTTTGGCAACGAGATACGTAAGAAGTGTATGGTGAGACCTTCAATTTCAGTTCTGAAACAGTAGGAGTTTGCTTCGAAAGGGCATGAGAATAAGGCGAACCGCGCTCAGAAGCTTCGCCGATCACATCAGATGAAAACAAATCCTAACTGAACAAAAGGATAATCGAAAGGGGAAGATAATCAAAAGGATAATCCTCATAATACCTGTACTGTTTGAAAGTGTTCAAGAAATGCTGGTGTTGCTTCCAGTTGAATGACGTCATCGTTTCTGAAAGATTACTCAGAAATGAGTGTCGAGCCCTTGAAAAAGGGCAGTCGTCAAGTGGAGGCACTAGGCGGTCTCCGGACAAACGATCTTTGAAGAAGTTCAATCCTGGAACATTTCCATCAGCTGAATGGCTGTTACTGGCAATTAGCAATTAGGGACTTACTGTTCATCAGCAATGTCAACACTGAGAAACACTATCAATGCGGCTCGTCGTCCTTCGCACCATCTCCACTTCCCCAGTGTGCATCCTCAAGCATGAACTATGATACTCAGCAATGCTCATTATTGCTTCTGATAATGAAGACGTAGTCGGCATTATTCCGCATTTCAGGTTTTTTTTTTTTTCATTTGTATCGTGCATATCTCAATATTCCGCCTCTTTTTCGAGTGTAGACTCCTTGGGCTGGGACAAGGCTTATGGATGCACTAAAAGTGTGTATCATCACTCAAACAACTAATGGCACTATTCAACACCCTCACTGCCCGTCTTCTTATAGTGGCTAATAAGTAATGGCGTTTTTTTCAATTGAAAAATTTGTTCGAAAAGTGAAACGTTTTGCAAGCAAGTTATATATCATCTGATAGGAAACTTCTCGTAGTATAAGAATATCAAAAAAGCTTTGGTTGAGGATATAGTTTTTGTGAATTTTTTAGTCGTTGAAGTTGGAAGTGAAGTCGGCGAAAATTAGCATCTTCGACAACTGCCTCTATTTACGTCTACTCGAAGTGCTAAAATCGCTTAAGCTGCTCCATACATTCGGAAAAGGTTGAGGTAGAAGTCTCAGCAAGGGAATCTCAATAGGACGCTTTGGAACTAATTTCAAGAATTTCAAAGTTGGCAACCTTCACCTTGCCAATATTGGGCAGGCTCACGTCTGTTCCACCTGAAATTTCATGCTAATAGTTGAATTAATTGAATTTGAATTTGATATTCTAATACTACGAGAAGTTTGCTATTAAATGATATTAAGCTTGCTTGCAAAAACGTCTTACTATTGGATCAATATTTTTTTCGAATTGAAAATAAAGCGGCCATTACTTATTAGCCAGCCCACTGGCAGTGGGCTGGCTAATAACTGCTAGTGGGCTGGCTAATAAGTAATGGCCGTTTTTTTCAATTGAAAAATTTGTTTCAAAAGTGAAAAGTTTTGCAAGGCAAGCTTAACATCGTTTAATAGCAAACTTCTCGTAGTATTAGAATATCAAATTCAAATTCAATTAATTCAACTATTAGCATGAAATTTCTAAATAGAGGCAGTTGTCGAAGATGCTAATTTTCGCCGACTTCACTTCCAACTTCAACGACTAAAAAATTCACAAAAACTATATCCTCAACCAAAGCTTTTTTGATATTCTTATACTACGAGAAGTTTCCTATCAGATGATATATAACTTGCTTGCAAAACGTTTCACTTTTCGAACAAATTTTTCAATTGAAAAAAAACGGCCATTACTTATAGCCACCTAATAGACTTATCAGGCAGTTTTTTCACCTACCTACTCTGTAGGAAGATTTAGGCTATGGTCTGAGGTTAGGATGGCCCTGTGCAAACAAGAAATACTCTCATCCGCTTACGAAACGAATGCATTACCGAATGAGTCTCAAAGTGCCTAATCAGAGACCCCACAGGCGCATGGCGTGTGGACTATAGGCGGCTGCGTCGTGCCAACAGTGTGTTAACACATTTGAACGCCCGGGTGAAATGGTCGGATACCGCGTCATACAACCCATTTCTCTCGCGTTTGTGTTTGCACGCAATCACTGCTCTGCGAGACGCAGGAGAAATTTAGACGGGAAGTCGCCGTCCAAAACGGCCGCGGCGTTCAATTGTGTTAAGGCTTAGAAATTATGGCCAGACAAGAGCAAGCACCGACGGTTTCAGGCTGCAGAGCGCAGATGACCAAGAGTCCGCCATAGAGATGCCGCCTCAGAGAAGACACATAGTATGCACTATAACCCTAAGCTGATTACAGGACGAGAATGCGGAGACGTTGGTAAGTGATCCTCTGTATTATGTTGGCGCCCGATCATCAGACAATGCATTCGCTTGAGCCATGCGTGTACAAATATAAATGGATCACGATAGAAGAGGTAGAGGGGGGGGGAGGGTGCTAGGAGGGACGTGGAGAACGAGGTTGTGCCCACTCTGTTCCTTTAGCTCTCTGAAGACGGAGCCATTTGTGGGAAAGGGATCATCATCTCTGCAAAAGAGCGCAAACAAGCGGGATTCACAAGCTGCTAGTATAGTAACGGACTTTTACGTCACGCCCGGTCCTTGGGCGGCGGGACTTTGTCTTCCATTCGTAGAAATATTCTTGTGCAAACGATTTTCATGCGCAAGAAGGCCGTTCCCAACGAAGTTCAGTCTACAAACCCGTTACAACGTAACGCAGATTGGCTTGACTGTGAGACGCTAGGGAGAATGACTTGACATTGCATGGGCGAGACATACATTCAAGTGTATCTACAATTTGAAGCTGGAGTCGAGCACGTGGCACATCCGGGAGGGATTGACCAACATTTCTGCTTCATTAGAACCGTATGCAGCATTTTTAAAGGCAGCGTCCGCGCTCAGTTGAGATTTCCTCTCCCTTCGTGAGCAGGTAGTCAGGTCCGCTGAGGCAACAACTACACCACTTTCGCGGCGCAAAAACGCGTGAGGAGAGCCACGATGCCGTCGTTCTTATCATTGACCCAACCTACAATCATTGGCACCGCCCACCATTCATTCTATGGTTACCTGATGGTATGGCGGTTGTTTCGCTGCTGCTTCTCTCCACGTCGAGTGGTGAGAGTGAGGTGATAGGGGAAAGCAGCTGATATCAACAAGTGAGAACTCGTGCGATCGCCCATTCTCTTCGCCTTGAGCACGTACAACCTCAATTAAGCAAGGGGTCTATTTAGAGCCTTTCCTATGATTTCTTGCTGTTTTCTTACTGAGGGTAATACTTGCTATCCTCTGTTATCAGTATTTTGAGCCGCATAACTACATCAAATTGAATGCGGGCTCAGTGTTGTTCTTTAAAACAAATGAGAAAAGAATAGAAAATGAGATCGTGTGCTGAAACCGACCTAGCTCATTCAAAACCTATATAGCTTTCCCTCGTCACTACCGGGATCTTCTTTACCCAAGTAATATCGATTTGCAGGCGCTGACAGTGCAGCTACTTTTTGAGCAAACAAACGAAAAACGAGACGAACCTCAGCGACACGTTCACATTCGTGTAATGGCACATATTCCAACCAAATGGTGAAAAGTAGGCGGAACAGCAAGGAGAAGTAGTGTGACAAGGAAAAAAAGAAAACCCGGGAAGAAAAGGAAAAAGGCGAGTCGAGAGCAGCATGGCAGGGCAAGAAGGTGATGCTCGGCGAGGACTGACTCTCAAGACCGCTAAGCAAACCGGACTCGCCTTTTAACCGATCATTCGAGCGAGGTCAACAAGGAGAAATTCGGAGTACGTTTGAGAGATGGCTCATTCAGAGAGAAACATGGGAACTATTTGAATGCGCGCTGCTCCTTCTGAGATGCTCCATGCATTTAACAACCATTATGTAACGACCCATACAATTATCGCATAGGCCAAGCAGTGGTGGCACCAGTGTTCTCACTCTCCCAATCGAAACTGGCACCCAACTAGCTGTGCTCACACTGATACTAGAGGTGTGTGTGTGTGTGTGTGTGTGTGTGTGTGTGTGTGTGTGTGTGTGTGTGTGTGTGTGTGTGTGTGTGTGTGTGTGTGTGTGTGTGTGTGTGTGTGTGTGTGTGTGTGTGTGTGTGTGTGTGTGTCATGGCACATTACTGTGGGCAAGAGAAAGTAATTCGTCTGCGGTGGTGAGCGCAGCGCGTGCACGGTAGCATCAGCTAATAACTATGGTTCCGGATAGTAGGTGGCGACAACAAGCAATTCAGAACCGAAAATAGCCATGAATACAATGACAGGGGTCACATTGAATCCAAATGCTCGACTCGACAGCTTTAAAGACGCCATGGCTACGCATTCAAACACATTGAAGAAGTGTATGAAGACTATTCAAGTCCCCCGCTGTCGATGTGTCGTGGTCCCGCGCCAAAACTCCATAGACAGGAGACACAGACCGTGAAACACGCTAGTTCCTCCATGCTCCGCCTTACACCTTTTGCGGCGCAGATTCCCGTCCTTCATAACATCCGTCGTAAGCGCGCGTGTCGCGTGCGGCTCCTTGGCACTTTGCCAAGTCCTTTAACACGTTGACGACATGCGCGTTTTTACTTTTTGGCCGCGTGGGACACGCGCGTTTTCTCGAACGCAACCAGCGCGGTACACACATAGTTCAGACGATCCCACGAGGCGCTTTTTTGGAAAATTGGATCGGAAAACTGGATTAGAGCGCAGTTATGAAGTAAGTTAATACTTCAGTATAGAAAAAAACCTGGCTGGCTAACTCTCGTTGCACTAGAATGCCAGAAATTCGTCCGCAACCAATGTTTTTCATAAAAAAAAGTGTCATGCCCTCTATAGCGTTCAGAATCCTTCACCCTATAATTTTTACCATTATCAACATTGAATCGATCAGCATTTTCTATCTTTTAGCTAAGTGTTGGAGAGAGGAAAACCATTCCAGTGTTGAAGAGCAATCAGTAACCGAGCGGCAATGGTGATCGCTATTACCAAGATATAGTAAATTTGCTAAACTAGTGTGTACTGAATTATTCCATGGACTACGCATAGTACGAGTACACCAGGGTCTGAACTATACAATGATTAAGAGAAACTAACTAAAAAACCATGCACTGTTGAAAGATATGGATTTGTTGATCGTGAGTTGTATAGTATGCACGCTGTCCCACATGGCCTACAACGCGTGCATTCAATGTGTCTCACGCTGTCGTCAATGTGTTAATCGCGACTGTCAAACACAAGTAAACCATTTCCTGATGCGGATAACATTGGAGGTGCTACAAAATAAGAACAGAAGATGATGACGAGGGCCAGAACTCAAGAGCAACTCGGCTGCATCTGCAGTATCCATCAGAGGCCGCGCATTCCTAACAAAACAGTGAGATAAAATACAGCCACTCGTTTCGTTCCTTAAAGTATTTTCTGATGGACTTTGGCGCCGGATTCGTCGCCGGTATTCTAGAATTTACAGGCGATTTAACTAATTTGCCTCCCTTGGTTTTTTCGTTTT